CTTGTGGGCTTGGGCAGAATTGGGTTGGGATGTTTTCGTGATGCACATTTTCTTTACATAAAACTCTCTCTTATACGTGAGTCGCCGTGGATTTGTTTCTCCAAAGTACCCAGACTAATACAACAGTCATCTTTGTTATCAGTCCCCCACCCCCACCCCGCTTCCTGTACCCTCAGGGAATCATTGCCCCCATTACTATTTCTGCGGGCATCCAATTCAGGCATCCAATGATCTTCATTGCACAAATGAATATTCGCAGGTCTAACAAGCTTAATGAGGTAAAACTGGGATCATAATAGTCTGGGGAGGAAATATTAAAGAACTAGAAGATAGTTGTGTGTTTCATCAGTGCTATACTGAACCCTGGATACATCTTCCCTCCCATATGGGAGGGACTGTCCAGTTATCTTACAGGTGGGTTTTGGGTCTTCACTTTGTCTATGCTTCTTTACATCAATGTGATTATTTGTTTTTGAATTTCTGATACCTATTCCCTCTTAACATAGCATTTTGAAACTTAACGGAGATTAAAAAACTTTATTGTGAATTAGGTGAAGGTTTGATCTTAAAATTTGAAGCTGAAAAGATTTTTTAAAGGTCATTTATTTCAATTCCCTTGTTACTCAGATAGAAAATGTACAGAACTTTAAAAAATGTAGCTCATGGGGGAGAAGGGGGGAAAAAATGAAGAGCCGATACCAAGGACTCAAGTAGAAAGAAAATGTTTTGAAAATGATGGCAACAAATGTAAAAATCTGCTTGACACAGTGTATGGACGTATGGATTGTGATAAGAGCTGTATGATAAATGATTTTAAAATGACATGATTTAAAAAGGAAAAAATATAGCTCAATATTTTAAGTGCTATTACGTTTATTTATTTATTTACTCAGGAAATGAAATATATTTTAATCTTTGTAATGTATGCATTATGAGCAGAGCTTAATTTTTTTTTAAATAATCATTTTATTAGGGGCTCATACAACTCATCACAATCTGTACATACGTCATCTGTGTCCAGCACTTTAGTACATATGTTGACTTCATCATTCTTACGACACCCACTTTCCACTTGAGTCCCTGGTTTCAGAGGTTTATTTATTATGCAATAAACAAAATTAGAAAAATTCAAATTGTATTCTGTGAAGAATATTTATAGGCAGGATCCCATTATAACCACACACAAAAAATCACAGATAGGGTTTTATATTACGGGTGTGCTAATTTACTCTTCTAAAGATGCTGTTTGTCAGCACAGAGCACCGACCTAGAACCAGCTGCCTAGTGTGTCTGCTTGTTGTTAGCTGCCCAGGCCTCGTTGTGATCTTATAGAACAGAATGAAACACGGCCTGTTCCTGTGCCACCCTCACAGCCGTGCTTACGTCCATTGCTGTAGTCACTGTGTCAACAGTTATATTACCTTGAAGGCCTTCCTCGTTTTCACTGACCCTCTATTTTACCAAATGAAGCCCCTTTTCCAGGGGCTGAGCTCTCTGATTGGTCTCCTGGTAGCATGTCTGAATGAGAATCAGAATCTTAATTTCTCACTCACTCACTCACTCACTCATTCATTCATTCGATATATGAGTATTTGCTCTGTGCACTGGTGGTAGGTACTGGGGATATATACAGCAGGGTCAAAAGAAACCAAAAGGGTCCTTCCTTAATGGAATCAACTACATTGTAGTTGAGGGGGAGGCAGAATATAAGTAAATATAAAGTAGATTAGGTGTGGGGAGAGGCTATGGAGAAAGCCTAAGCAGACAGGGGCGATGCTGAGTGTCAAGAAAGACTTCATTGGTAGATGTTGCCTTTGATTAGTGATCTGACGAGAGTAAGAAGCAACCTATACTAAACTAAGCATTTGGGGGAAGCGTATCCCAAGCTTGTACAAGGCCGTAAGACAAGAATGTGTGTGGTATGTTTAAGCAATAATTGTTAGGAGCTTGGCAGCTCTACCCCACCAGTGGCTCTATGGAAGAAAAGACCTGATAGTCTCCCATAAAGATGACAACCTAGGAAATACTGCTGGGCAGTTCTACTCCATCTCGTAGGATCACTATGAGTTGGAATTGACTTGAGGGCACACAATGAAAACATTCAGAGTCATTGCACCTGCAGCGAGTGCATGATGGGAGGGTAGTAGGAGGTGAGGTCACACAGGTGTGGGGTAGGATCTATCATGTAGGGCCTCAAAGGACGCTGGCTTTTATTCTAAGAAGGAAGCCACTTAGGGATTTTGAGTTCAGGTAAGGTGGCCAGACGTCCTACTTTTGGCGGGACGGTCCCGATTTTTAACAATTTTTTCCGCATCCCGCGGCATTTAAAAAAAATCCCGATTTTTGGAAAGCATGCATGACAAGCTAGGGTATATGGTTTTCAGCTGCCATGTGGCTCTTTCGCCAGGATATGAGTTTTATCAATGGTGTCCCACTTTACCAATGTTAAAATCTGGTCACCTTAGTTCAGGAGAATTTTGACGTGACATCTTGGGGTATGAGGTGGGGTGGCCAGCCCCCCACCATTAACCACGGGTTCAGTAAGCACAATTGTACAGTTGAGATAGTGCTCACCTCAGCCCCTCTTGGTGGTCCATGTGGAGAGAGAGGGACGGGAAGGAGGACAAGGGGAAAGGGAAACAGGGGAGGAGAGGGAGCTGAATAGAGGTCAAGGGAGGAGCAGAGAGAGAGAGAGAGGACGAGAGACTCTCTAGGCCCAGCTAGCTCAATCGGTAGAGCATGAGACTCTTATGTGGGGCACGAACCCATGACCCTGAGATTAAGAGTCTCATGCTCTACCAACT